GCATTGCAGGATCTACGTGAAAGAACTTATAGAATTAGGGGTGGAAAAAGGAAAGGCTGAACTCCATCCTCAAAAATACAGAGTTGTCTCCACAAATAAAACTTATCATGGAGAGATTCAAGTTGGAATTACTTTCACTGAAAAGGTACACTTTTATGATAATCCCTCAAACTCTACGAATTAATCAAATAAAATTAATTGCTTTTTCATTTTCTAAGAATTAGACAATGACAATCTGTTACTGATGTACAAGGTTTGATTCATTTGATTACAGGAAGAAAATATTGAAGAACAAAATATGGCGGATGAAAGGAAAGCGACTACTAGTTCTTCTATCAGCTAATTGTCACCAGACCTTTCTGCATGCATTAATTTAATTTCAATGAAAACAATTCAGAATGTACACTTCGTTACTTCATGAAATCCATTAGAAGTATATTTGTAACAATTCCTTTTTATATATATATGTATGTATGTATGTATGTGTGTGTGTGTGTGGATTATTTTCGCAAAAATGTACTTGCTGTAAAATGGATTATGAATTTTTATTTTCTTCTAAGTTTCTTATCTTCAGACAATTGAGTAATTAGATATTGGATTTTCAATGATCTCTTATGTTGGTGAAGATACTCCTTGCAATGGCTAGAAACAATTCCACGTTAGATTCCAAGACACGTGATAACGTTCTCCTTAAATCTATATTTGTCCGCATTATACTTCTTCATCTTTTGCTCATACCGAATGGTGTCTCCTTCCTCAAGTTTCATATAACACGTGCTTTTCTCCCTTGATCCATTGATATTGATTTGTATATCCATCTTTGATCCAATATACTAACGTCCAAAACAACACTATGTGAAAATTTTCTCTAACAGCCCTCCACCTTTTTCAAAATACGGAGTTTAAAAAACTTTCATATAAGTTCACCAAAGTGCCAAACGCATGAATAGATGAAAGCTATGAGCAACACTAATTAAATTAGGTTACTTGCAATGACCCAAATAGTTGTAGGGTCATGTTGTTTCATTGAGGCGTCGACTTTTATTGGGTCATTGGTCCACGCGACAAAATAAATTTTACCGATTTAACATCATAGTTCGAGAAGTCATGTGACAACAATTTGCCCAACAATGAAAAAACTTTTATATAAGTTCACCAAACGCATGAATAGATGAAGGTCATGAGCAACACTAATTAAATTATGTTACTTGCAATGGCCCAAAAAGTTTTAGGGTCGGATTGTTTCATTGAGGTGTCGACTTTTATTCAATCATTTGGTTGATGAGACAAAATAAATTTTACCTATTTAACATCATAACTCGGGAAGTCGTTTGACAACAATTTGCCCAACAAACCTCCACCTTGGTGTCAAAAGACCTGCAAAAAAAAACATTATCATCCATTAATGACAATTCCAAAAGGAAAACCAATAAAATTGGAAATTATTTACCTCCATCGATATTTAGAAGATTTTTGCAACTTTTAAACTTCACCAATGCAACACCTTAGTTCTCATGTCCGAGGTATTATATTGTG